TGATAGGATATTGGGTGTTTTAAACCAAACTTTACCCGAAAATTTAAAATCAATGACCATTGATTATAAAATTACCATCTCGGATTATTCCTTGCAAACTCTAATGAAAAATTGGAAAGGGACTGTGCCTTTTACAATGAACATTTGGAAACAAGGAACGATCGCTTCACTAACACAAAGAGATGAGTTGGATGCTTTGTTAATAAAATATCGAGATTTGGGATTTTTAAAAATCATAAATCATGATGGTGATGATGATGTGATTTTTGATTTAGAATCTGAGGTGGTTCCCGGTCAGAAATCATTTTTTAATAAGGTAGCTTTACCAATTACTCGGGCTTCGCGGTATTTTTGGAACAAATTTTTTTGGTTATGGTGAGAGATGGTAGCTTTTATTTGGAAACCTTGAGCATAATTATAGTAAAAAATGTTAGATTTTTTAATTGATGGATGCGAGTTTAGCAATTTCTTTCACAATAAAAACGCGTAATTCTAAATTTTCAAGTTTAATTAATATATTTCGTTTATACTATTTCATTTCATGTGAATCGTGTTAATATGTTATCTTAATTGATCAGTTGCTCAACTTGCTCTTTTAATCAAACATCAATTATTTAATTATTACGCACAAAAAAGTTTTGTTTCCTAAAAGTTTAAACAAATTCTTTTTTTTGTATTATTGACTTTTCTCTAATGTGTGCGTGTTTGATAGAAAAAATTTGTTGAATTATATATACGCGCGTAATTTTTTTACAATCATACGATTGAAATGACAAACAGACAGATAAGGGTACGGCTGATTCCTTTGTCTGTCTGAAGTTAACGTTTGTAGCACAGCAGCAATTTTAATAAAGGCATTTATTTAGGTAAAGGTCAGTGTAACACAGTTACAATATGAATATGAATAATACTAAAATTTTTTTTCTATTTATTATAAAAAAAAAGAAAAAATGGATATATTATTAATCTATATGGACTGGAATAAATAAAAAAATAAAATGATATATATAAAATTAAAATAAAAATTGTCATGTCATGTAATATCAATATTATCATTACCCCAACTTCATTTCCTTCACTTTACTTCTCCTCCCCTCCCCCCCAATTCTTGTTTCGATCTTTACCTTTTCCCTGCAAAAAAACTCAACAAAAAATTCAAACTAATAGGTACTCCTCGCTTGTTTGGGTCTATATTTTTTATCATTTTTATATTATTATTATTTAAACAGTATTTGTGAAGAAGATGATAAAATTACCGATTTAAGAGAGTTATATT